TTTTTCTATTACAAACATACATGCATATACATACATATATTTGTATGTTCATATTGCGAAAACGCCCATTACTAAGGCCATAATGCATTACATTATTTACTACACTTGCCGGTGCACCCCTTTCTGCATAACTACTAATGCTTATGAAAAAGTTATGAGCCTTCCTTCATTCACCCTTTGGGGGCACACTTTTTTTGTGGATTTTTGCAAAAAAAATACTCATTTGCAACTACAAGTATATATATGTACATGTACAATACATGTATGAAGGTACATCTAATACATTACATATTTCACAACCCTTTCTATGCTCCGCTAACACCAACTTACATATATATATATATACCCTGCAGGAAAATATGAACTAAATTGCTACTAGTTAGCCTTTCAGCGCAACTATTTCGTCTTCCATGATAGCGACTGGTATTTTTAACGTGACGTTGTCTTGTGAAATGTCAATTGCCCGGCTATGCTTCAGCACCTACCAGTAGAAGTGGTAGTAGCATCATACCACTTGACGTGATAATCTGCCGATTCATCACCCATGAGAGGAAAAAGTTTGCAATTTTTCTTGCACTGCTAGAACAGTCACAATGGCTGACAGAGCAAAGCACTAGCGTGTCATTTGAGAGATCCGAGGTTGGAATCCTCGACCAGCGGATCATTTTTTAAATTCGTTTACTTAATTAAGTTTTTAATTTATGCGTTTATGTAATTTTTAAGCTTTAGAGTTTTTAAAAGGGAAATATTTTATTGAAGTTCATTATGATATTGAAGCATATTTCTGGGATTTTTTAAATAAAAACTAATTCGGAATTTGTAATTTATACATATCGTCGGCTTAACGTGCAAAGGTGCCAAGTCCACTTTTTGCCAAAAATTTAATTCTGATGCAGTTCGGTAGATAATTTGAAAATACATACTATGTTAAAACAAGTAAGAAAGTCTAAGTTCGGGCAGAGCCGAACATTAAATACCCGGCGCACGTATTAAATATATGTTTTTCGCCTTACCGAAAGCTACGGCTACATGGTAAGCCGGGGCGTATCAATTTTGAGTAAATTAGAGTCCTTAAATTTCGATTTTGAAGTTTCAAGCAGTTCTGAAATTTACCGTTATATGAGAAGCGGCCGTTATTTTAGCCCGATTTCAATAATTTTCAACGGTTTGCTTATATGTGGCAAGCACAATAACCACACCGAGTTTGGTACAAATTGGTAGAACGGTTACTGAGATACATATATGTGATCATAAGTGGGCGGTGCCACGCCCATTTTCCAAAAATTTATCACAAACGTATTTCTTGGTAAAGAATTGTTGCAAGCATCAATTTTGAACAAATTAGCTTCAATATTTACTGATTTATCGAAGATTTTGTATTTCTCTAAATTACCGTTATATGGGATGTGGCGTGGTTATCGTCCGATTTTAAAAATTTTCGGCGATTTTGTATGCTGTACCAAGGCCGATAACTGTGCCAAGTTTGGTAGAAATTGGTACAGCGGTTACCAAGATATACACATGTAACCATAAGTGGGCGTGGCTACGCCCATTTTCCAAAAATGTATAATATTCTTATTTTTTGTCAAAAAATTATTGTAAATACCAATTTTGAGTGCTTTATCTTCAGTAGTTACTAAAATATCGCAGTTTTCGTTTTTCTGAAAATTACCGTTATATGGGAAGTAGGCGTGGTTATTGAGCGATTTTAAAAATTTTCGGCCATTTGGTATGTTATGCGAAGGCCAACAACTGTGCCAAGTTTGGAAGAAATTGGTGCAGCGGTTACCAAGATATACACATGTAACCATAAGTGGGCGTGGCTACGCCCATTTTCCAAAAATTTACAATATTCTTATTTTTCGCCTAAAAATTATTGTAAATATCAATTTTGAGTGAATTATCTTCAGTAGTTACTAAAATATCGCAGTTTTCGTATTTCTGGAAATTACCGTTATATGGGAAGTGGGCGTGGTTAAAGTCCGATTTCGCCCATTTTCAATAGCAACCTACCTTGGATTAAGGGAAACCTACATACCAAATTTCGTTGAGATATCTCAATTTTTACTCGAGTTATCGTGTACACGGACAGACGGACAGACGGACAGACGGACAGACGGACAGACGGACAGACGGACAGACGGACAGACGGACGGACAGACAGACATGGCTTAATCGATTTCTTTTTTCATCCTGATCATTTATGTATACATTTGTCTATATCTATCTCGATTCGTTTTGGCTGTTACAAACAACCGTTATGTGAACAAAATTAATATACCCTTGTGCACAAGTGCGCTCGGGTATAAAAAAACCTTGTCGACTCTTATTTTAAAGTGATCTTAACAGCGGTGTGCAAAAGTGACATGTACACATATGACAAAACGCACGCGCTAAGTCCACTTGACAATAGTTTTGTTCTAATGTGATTTCTACATATAGTGCTGTGTGTTGTTTTTTGTGCTCAAGCAAAATTCTTTGCTTATTTTAATTTATTTATTATTTAAAGGTAAAAAATATCAAATTCAATTTAATGAATATGAATTGGACTAAAATTTGCATATATTTAGACATTTCAATGGACACTGATAAAAACAACAACGAGTATTTCAGCGAATATGGTAATCAGGCAGATGATGGAGTTATGGGACTGGTGCCTTACGGCTTTAATAGCGATTCGGACGAGTCGCTAGACCTTCCTTTAAAATCACAAACGCGCAAAAGAAGAGGAAAAGTTGTTAATCAGGCATGGTTCGCAGCAAAAAATAAAAAACTGAGAGAAAATGGCAAACTTTACTTGGGGGAAAAAAAAGATAATGGCGTGTGGAATCATCGGAGAGTTAGAAATGCAAGAGTTATTGGAGAACGATGTAAGTGTAAAAAAGCCACTGGGTCTGCTACCCTCCACTGTGCAGAAGTCACTGAAGACCAAAGACAAGTAATCTTTAAACAGTTCTGGAAAATGGATTGGAAAGAGAAACAAACTTACGTAAATACATTGATTCAAGTAACAACACCTGCAAGAATGCGAAATCGTAAAGATAAAAACCAGACAAGAAGGGGTCGAACATTACAATACCATGTAAGGGTACAGCAAAAAAATGTTAAAGTTTGCCAAACATTCTTTTTGAACACTCTTAGCATTGGCAAACGTATAGTGCTAAATTGGGTCAAACAGACAACGATTTCAATAAACACTACACAGACCGCACCACAAAAAAATTGTAGCATTGCACGTCAAAATCTTAATTCATTTTTCGATTCTCTACCGACCATGGAATCACATTACTGCCGTGCAACAACGAACAAAAAATATCTTTTGCCAGAATGGTCTTCAAAAAAACAACTATTTGATTTTTACGTAGAGGATTTTTGTAAGGTACGTGGGGGAACCCCACTCTCTATTTCGGCGTTTCATGATGCATTTGCTGTTAAAAATCTGGGCCTACACTACCCTAAAAAAGATCAGTGTGAAATATGTGCTCGACATTCTGTGGGAGATATTTTGGATGTCGTCTACAATCTTCACCAGACAAAAAAACATGAAGCTAGGGAAGAAAAGCAAAAAGACAAAATCGAAGAGGCCTTTGTGTTTACTGTCGATCTGCAAGCGGTCTTAATGGCACCAAAATCCCAAGTAAGCAGCCTTTATTACCGCACGAAGTTGCAAGTCCACAATTTGGTATTCTACAATTTGATAAGTCATGATGCTTATTGTTTCATATGGAATGAAGTAGAAGGTGGAGTATCTGCGGAAGAATTTGCTAGCATTTGGGTGTACTTCATCGAGAAGAAAATAGTTCCAAAACTTACCGAGAATGCAGCTGATACGAAAATTATTCTTTATAGTGATGGGTGCACGTACTAGAATAGGAATGTTACTATGAGTAACGCTTTGCTCAATACATCTATTAAACATGGCGTAACAATTGAGCAAAAAATACTCGAAACCGGACACACACAAATGGAAGCTGACAGCGTCCATTCAGTTATCGAGCGTGCCATTAAACACCGAATTGTTAACCCTACAGTAGTCGCGCCCCTAAAACTGACGTAATTGGTCGCGCGGTCTACATATGTAATCCATTTTAAAATTAAAAACACAATATATAAATATTTAATTCTTCCATTGCTTTTGTTTTAAATATTCTTATTATTGTTTAATTTATTAATATTAATCAAAAATAACATAAATAAACTTTCTGTTCTTACATAAAATAAATAAATACCCAAACTTCATTTTTTAACTTAAAATTAAGATACTTCACAAAAGTATAAAATATATATAACATAACCACAAGATTATTGATATGTTTTAATTGTTTTCGAAACATGACAAACATACAGTCTTGGAATGATCAGGACAAATGTGTTTATTGCAAGCGTTACACACTTTACGGGTGCTTTTATTACGGGCCCTTCCACAATCGTAGCAACGACCGACGTAGTTATTGTGCGTTGGACCTTGATGAGTTACGGCTTGTGGAAGATTCAGGAAGTCTTTTATTTTAAATGTCAGTGTTCTAGGAAGCGTGGTAAGTGTTAACCTTTGCTGAGCCAGTGGTTTCATCCAAGACAAAGCCAAGTCTATGAGAAAATCACGCCTTTTGACAGATTCATAGTTACTGTTTGCAGTGTAAATGCATAATGCGTTGAGAGCACTGAGGTTTACAAGATTATAGAACTTAGTCAGCGGCCACCTTCTCGAATTCCTAGATACGTCATAAAGGGAACACATCTTGTCAACCAGGTCAACGCCATTTTTAGTGCGATTATAGTATGTTATTATTTCCGGCTTTCGTTGATCTCCGGTGTCAGAATCAATCGCTGTATCGTTGTGCATTGTAGACATGGCTATTACCACTTTGTTGGCTTTTGGTACATAAGAAACCAGAGTACATGGAGAGTGGAATCCAAATTTTGAGGAGCATATTGGATTGCCTCTAGCTATTCTAAATTCCCGGGGAACTTCTCTTTTATCTTTGCGAACGGTAGCAACCATTGTAGTTCCATTATCAAATAATTGCTTTGCAATTTTCAGAGAGGAAAACCAATTGTCCATAGTAATATTGCTATGTCTATTCAAAATTGGTTGCACCATTCTCATCACTATATCAAATCTCTCGTTGCTTAACCGAAATGGACCTTCGGGTTGTTGGCCGGCGTAAATTTCTAAGTTATAGGTGTATGGGTAATGAACATCTACAAGTGCAAAAACTTTCAGTCCATACTTAGCAGGTTTACTTGGAATATACTGCCGAAATGAACAACGCCCTCTGAAGGACAAGAGTTGTTCGTCCAAAGTCATTTCAGCACTTGGTGTAAAATACCTTTGAAAATTTCCAAGAACCAAATCAAATATTTCGCGAATAGGCGCTAGTTTATCGATGCTTGCACGATCTTGACGTTCAGTAATATCATCAAATCGTATAACTCTAAGAAGGAACTTAAATCGTTGTTCAGACATGGTCAAATATATTGAATCTATTCCAGTGTGTTTTTCGTTATCAAATATTTGACTTGTACTGGAACGGCTTACCTTTAAAGCACCAGCCATTAGTAAAATTCCTAAAAATCCTTTGATTTCAATTTCATCTGTTGATTTGGCATCCCTTTCACGTGCATATTTAGTCTTAATACTTTCAATTTTTATATTAGTATATTTTATAATGAGACCAATTATATTATCGTCTAAAAAAAGTGACATACAGTCCTCGGGTTTGGTTTTTTGCCGAGCGATTCCTTTAGGACCCGGGGGCTTGAACACAATATTATGCCTTCTTGTTCTACCCCTATTAGCAGGGGCATTCTTTGTCCAAACAGTATTATCAACGCCTAGATAAATTTCTCCACGTCTGTCTCGCTGAGGGGGCTCCTTATCGTAGTCAGATACTTGATTACACACGTCTTGCTCTTGCTCGGATTCTGTGTCAGACCACTCCTCTCCAATAAAATCCTCTTCGTCTTCTAAACTTGATAAATCGTCATCAAATTCATCACTTTCAATTTCGTCCAACCACGCTGCAATCTGATTTTCTGTCCTATTTGCCATGATCTTCAAACCCAAAGAAATTTATATGTACGAGTAGCGTACATATGTAAATATTATCAGAAAAGTTCCACAAAATTTTAAAATAAAAAAGTATGCCCAAAATCCACTTTTCTTTACAAAGTATAACTAGCTATTAGCATAAAACCTAATTTAAAATACTTACGTAATCGGTCGCGCGGCATACATACGTAGACCATGAGTTTCAGGAACCTCTAGCGACACAACTGCACGCAACAATTAACAGCGGAACACTGAGAGTGACTCTCTATTTGTTAGTTACAAGTAGCAAAAATCTCCGATAAAATCGATGCACCATTTTCAAGAAATATGAAATTTAACTATGGTGGATTACATATGTAGACCGCGCGACTACTGCAGGGTTAATGTACCAGCAGAGTATATTGAAATATGTCGCAATGCTCGAAAGAAACCGACACCTTATATGGTAGAGTATTTGGATCACAATTTTTTCAAATGTTTCAAGGGCATACCATATTTAAAAACAATTCGTCCTGGTCGCGGAAAAGGTGAATCAAAAGTCACCGATATTCGTGCAATAAAATACACGCCGCAATGTGAAATATTTTATAAATTGCGTTTTCCAGAGCCATGGAGCTATTTGCAACAAAGAGTGGACAGAAGTGTTGTGCCAACTGAACGGTCTAATTTAACTCAACTTCACCAAGAAAGAAGAAAATTAACAGCCAGAAAATACGCAGATTTACAATTAGGGGATTCACAAGACGTGTTAACCGTCGTAAAATCTTAAGGTTAACATCTTTTTTAATTAAAATGGTTTTAGGGGATTTCTAACTTAACCGAAATTCTTTTAAACTGATAAAGAATATATAATTAGCCAACCCCCCAACCATTTTAACCGCTATTTTACATAAACAAGTGTTAAGCTTAAGATTTTACGACGGTTAACACGTCTTGTGAATCCCCTAATTATATAAAAACTTCTTTGCCAAGAGACTACCACCAATATTATGACGACCTGCCACATGAGTGATATCTATTTATTTTTGTTTAATTTATAATTTACAAACAGCAATGAGGAAGACTATAGATTTATTAATTTTTGGGATACCCAAAACAAAAATTTTCCATTAATTACTTATGTTTTCCTTTAAACGACAGCAACGAAGTAAGACTGTATAATATTTTTTTGTGATAATAAAATACGCCGTTG